TTTTATTATATGTATATATATATATATATATATATATATATATATATATATATATATATAAATTTTAACTACTTATCTGATATTTGTTTATCATCCATTTATTTATTCTGCTATTTTCCTTGTGTAAACTTGTGTAAACTTGTCTTTAATCTTGCACAGACTTCATTCCATATTTAACGATGTTGCCAAAATGATTTTACTGCAAAGAATTATGCCACAAACATGAATGATATCATGAATGATATAATGATATTATATACAATTGTATAATTTTAATGTATTAAAACTGAAACATTAAAATTATACAATTGTATATAATAATAATCTATTAATTTATAAATACATTTATATTCACATATTCGTAAAAATTATTTTTTTATCTCGTTTATCTCCATGCACTCCACGTTTCCACTTATTTGCGTCATTTTAATATAATTTTATTTTTATTTTATGCTCCATTATGTTTTTTATATTAATATTTATAAAGAATTACAATTCTTCGATATTTCTTGTTTACACTCTCCCATATCTGTCAAAAAGGTTTCGCAAACTAACAGACTCACTACTTAAACAGTGTTACTAATGTACAGAAATTAAAATTATATCGTCTAGAGGTTTTTGTTCGTACCAATATTATCCTCTCCACTTTTCGGGAAAATGTAGTCTAATGGCTCCTGCACACAGGACGCGGTAATGTTTGCCGCACGGCGGAAGTTCGTGCGGCAAGCATTACCGCGTCCTGTGTGCAGGAGCCATTACTGCGCACTCAGTGCGCACCAGTTCTGCCAATGAAAAACGCTAAAGGGACGTCTACATTGGAAGTAAATAGCAAGAAGTAGGAAGTAAGAGTAAGAAATTGACCAACCACAGTCGAATGTGAGAAGAATAATCAACTATGATTGGTAAATTTCTTATTCTTACTTCCTACTTCTTACTGCTTACTTCCAATGTAGACGTCCTTTAATGGCTCTTGCACACAGGACGCGGTAATGCTTGCCGCGCGGCGGAAGTTCGCGCGACAACCAATCAATATGCTGCTTTCCGTAATAACCTTCTAGCTCTTACGGAAAAACAACATATTGATTGGCTGTCGCGCAGTGGAAATTCGTGCGACAGCCAATCAATATTCTGCTTTCTGTAGTAACCTTGTAGCTCTTACGGAAAAAGAACATATTGATTGGCTGTTGCGTGAACTTCCGCCGCGCGGCAAGCGTTGCCGCGTTCTGTGTGCAGGAGCCGTAACAGTGTACGCTACTGTGAAGCACACGTTAGCTTCACTTTTCTGGCCGTATGCGGGGTCCATGTATACTACGTCCATGGACTTCGCACTGTAGATGCGATGGCACATTGGACGTTAAGTGGTATTCAGTGAGAGTTCTCACTTCTATTTAAAACAAACCTTTCATTGGATATTGCCCATCGTTAATCGCGTCCAGTGTATGAGACTATTATCTATTCTATGCTGAGGTATGTTCGCATTAGGGTGGGACCCGATTGACTACGACACGATTGGACACAGATTGTAATGATTGGTTCGACCTAGTAATTCACTAGATAATTCTTTTCATCGATTGGTTGTGTCCAATCGTACCGTGGGACGCTCCCTTCGCATTATTGCTACATGTGAGTATAGCATAATGATCGAAGGAACTTAGCTGTATCGAGAAAGCTACGATTGTGGGCATGTTGCGTGGTAGCTCTTGCCGCCATTGCTACATCATGCTATAGTAATCGACAGTAATCAGACGCGAACGATCACCCCCGCTGTGGTGGTTTCGTCGGGTCTCTTGAGTTTTAAGCAAGACTCAAGCTGTGTAAACATATATATACATTCACGTACGTACGACGTGTGCAACGTTGATAGTTGTTAAGATTGCGTGGTGAGTTGCGTCGTTTTCGTCGGTCGACACAACAAGCATATCCGTGCGTACGAAATATTCCACTCGCAACAAGAGAGGGAAAGAGAATAACAGCAACTGAGTTATTCGAAAAGAGTATGCAGAAGTGATAAAGCAAGTCTATTATATGGTTAGCAGCTATTCAGTCAAGTTAATACAGGTACGTTAATATACTGCATCATTTCACTTGATCTGACATTAAAGAAAAAAAGGATACTTTTTTTTTATTACCTGAAGTCGACGTAAAAAGACGCGAATGTCTTTCTTTCTCCGTTTTTATTGATCAAGACGCTTGGGCGTCTACGCGACAAATATAGGACCCGTCTAACGCTAAAATATTAAATTAATAAGACGGACTTATATAAGCGTAGAATAAGAGCGAATGCGATAAAAGTAAAAGTTCCATTATGATGGTGATAACTGATAACGATATTTGAGATTCAAGTTTGTTTGCTATAGCTATCAGTGTCCCATAGGCGTCAACTCTCTTCTTATACGATATCGGATATCTATTTGCTCGATCATTCAAAGCCGACCAACGCATATTAATTCAATGAATTAACGTGGGTGGTGTTACGCACTGTTCTCTTCATTTCCCCTTCTTTTCTCGTTCTACCTTTGACCAAGAAAGATTGATGCATAAGCACAAGATTGAGCTTCTAAGTACACTTCTCCTTCAGTAAAAATCTATTCCGATATTTGAAAACCAAGATATCGCCTTTTTTATTTATTCACTGTACGTCTTTTATCGTTTACTTTGACAGCTGTTTAGTGTACATATTATCTTACAAATATATAAAACATATAAAATATATAAAATATATATAAAACAAAAAAGAAAAACAACCAAATATTTCTTTTCTATTTCGAGATATCAGAAATAAACGTATTTATATTAATATAATATCAGAAATAAATATATGTAGCCAATGTTTACATGTCTCATAATTCGACGAATACTCCACAATTTTACTTGCACGCACTATGTTATCTATTTTTTTATGTTTTGGCAATTTTGTGAGAAGCACCTTGCATCTATTACAAATAGAATGGCATGAATAAAATATCTTCTAATACATGCTTCTGTTTTATTTTGTGTATACTTTGTTTACACCTGCTGTTGACAGATATTCTATATCTATATATACTTCTCAATAACGATTAACAACTTCATTCTCTTTGTTGTAGATAAGAAAAGATAAGGTTTTATTACAATTTTTCTTATAACTTTTAATGATCCATTATTCGCAACAACAGATTTGTTGAAATGATATGAATAGAATAATAGATATATAAGTAATAGAATAATACAATGGAATAGGTTCTTTTATCACTGGACAAATTCCATTAAAGTCGATTAACGCAAGTCGTACAGTTAACTAAATTAAAGTCCATTTTAAATCCTATTTTAAAATGTGAATTGCGTTGCAATCATCCGTCGCAGCCTGTTGTTAACTGTACGTGGCTGATTAAACAGATGCATGAGAATTCAAAGGAAAATGCCATACTGATGTCACTTTGTAATTTACTGGATGATAAGCGAAACTCTGCTACAACACGTTAGGTTTATCGTGACTATACTTCGGCCTCGCCTTGATGCGTCATTCGCGATATATATCGGGATTTTATTAAAATACTCCGTCCTACTTTACAAGTTTATTCCTGAAAATCGTAGTTTTAACGATTAACAATTAAAATTAATTTGCTTTTATATTGACTTTTTAGACTCAAGAATAAGTAACGAATAAACTCGTTTTTCGTTTACTTACTTGGTAATAAGTCGCAAAGAAAGATGAAAAGTAATTAGTAAATTATTGAAAAACATAGTGTTTAGAGTTACTGCGAGGATTCCAATATAATTTGTTATTTATTAACGAGTTCCTCTTGAGTGATACCCACTTCGTTTAAGTTCGCGATATCTTTTCCGTCACAACAAATAAGGACATGAAACATTAAGTATTTGCTAGAAAAGATATGGGAAGTATATGGGATAGTATACAGATATGGGGTATCATTAAATTCTTATTGGAAAGAAGCTTCATATTTTATAATATTTTGTCAAAATAAATTAATGTTTACTTATAAATTAATATTATAAAATACTTTAATATATAATATAATATTTTATATAATATTTTAAAAATACTATTTACTAATTTTTATTTTATTATTCAATTTTATATTTATTATATATTAATTATATAAACATAATTTTCTATATTTATACTATATAAATTTTATTATAAGCAATTAACATTCTCTCTCTTACATCGGGTATCTGTGCGCAAGTACCGGTTCAGCGGGCACAAATTATCGGGATAAAATTACTTACTTTACAAAAAGAGAGAGAGAGAGAGAGAAGAATTGGTATATATAATATATATAATATATATAATATTTATATAAAGAAATTGGGCACTCTTCTATCTATCCTCCGCTTACATTGTAAAAAATTTTTGTAAAATTACATCTATTATAGTGAGTAATTTTGAGACTAAATAAAAGTCCCAAAAAGTCACCATCTGCCCTTGGAAAAATATGACATAGAGTAGTAATAATTAAGGATTAGTCATTGCACAGTATACAGAGAATGAATTATCTTGATATTACACGTTGTACTTTGTCCTCACAACGTGAGTTGTTTCTTTTCTCACGTCATTACTAAAATACTTATTTCTAAGAAGACGAGATGCTAGGAATTCTGTGTAGTCTGTTTCTTTAAAGTAACGTCATTAGTTCTGAAAAATTCGAAGGAAAACGCGCGCGTGAGATTAGAGAGAGAGAGAGAGAGAGAGAGAGAGAGAGAGAGAGAGAGAGAG